ACACAGTGTCCATTGCTCCCTACTCCCTGAGCAGGGGAAATCCGTTGAAGTTTACTTCACTTCGGAATATTCATTTACAGATTTGCGCTGCTCCGCTGCCTGCAGCGTCTTCACACACAAACGAAACTTACTAGAGAAGTGTGAAGTGGGACATAATATACCTCTGTAAATAAATACAATTTAAATTCACGTCTCGCACACTTAAATGCCCTTTGTATGGAACTTATACGCTCCCTTCAAACTGGAATCATGGCGGAATATCCGGTAATGTCCACTTCGCAGGGCACTTACAGTCAAATATAACAAACGTATGAAGCAATAAGAGAAACATAACATGTGCAGAGCGGGGGTACACGAGGACTGGAATTGAGAACCGCTGACATAGACTATAGAATATCTATAATAATTTAGTAAATTGAGAATTTCATAAAGGCCTTTCTTTTTGGGACATTTTATGAAAAAAAATGCAGATAGTACTTCAATGGTCTAGACTAGAGAAGAAAGCTACAATTTGCCAGCTAAAGAGAATTTTAAGGAAGAAGATGAAAGATGTTAGTTAGAAGAGAGGAAGAGAAATAAAGACTTTGAAATAAATATTTGATGTCAGTTTTTCAAATAATAATGCAGTTTAAAATTGTGTGAAGTCACAAGAAAATCTTTCCCCTAATGCTCATTTCAACTAATATCACTTTCCAAATGCATTAGCCTTTCAAATGCATTATTACAGCATGATGTGACACACTAAAACCTTCCTACGTCTGCAAGACTGTCAGGCTAGATGATCATCAGTGTTGGGAAGGTTACTTTGGAAATGTAATAGGTTACAGATTACAAGTTACCCTATTCAAAATGTAATAAGTAGTCTATTTCAATTACCTTATTAATGTAACTGATCACATATGATTACGTTTTGATTGCTTTTCAAAATGTCTAACGAATGCTTTCAACTGTTAATCATTTTCAAACATTTACAACATGCAGGGTTAACCTTACAGTAGTACTCAACACTGATTACTGCCAGACATTCAAAACCTTTCATCACTTAAATTAAGATTATACAAAAATAATTTTAAAAGGCACAGCCACCACAAAATCAGACTTTAGCACCTCGTTTTACTTTGAGATGGTTCTGAATTTTGATTTTTAAATATCCAGCACTGGAATGCATTTTTTTATCACTCACTATGGTGGAAACTCTCAGACATTTATAGTAAAATCATTGTTAATTTTCATAAGTGTGTTGTTGTCTGCCCTAGCTCCCTCTAAACCTATTCTAAAATATGATTATTTGTCTGCTAAATTACTACTGTAACGTTATAATAGATAATAATATCCTTTATACAGTATTTTGGGTGATGACTGATGAGCAATGTGCTGCTGCTGCTTAACTAAGTAAACAAAGACAAAACTACAATAGCATATTTACAGATGGAACTGACCTGCACTTGAAACCCGTCGTTAACATTTTCACAAGTAACTGTAATTTAATTACACATTATTTCTTAGTAACTGTAACTGATTACAGTTACATTTATTGTGTAATTAAATTACGTAACACCGTTACATGTAACTAGTTACTCCCCAACACTGATGATCATACAATGTAATCTATAAAAATCATGTAAAAAGAGTAGCTTGCTTTCAGTAAACTCCAATGCTAAATCATATAATTTGTTGGTTCTTTTCATGTTAAGCAAAACTTGCGTAGTCCATTTAGATATATTTATGAGTTCTGGTGGTTTTGTCCAGCTGAAGGCTTTCAGGAGAAATTCAGCACATCTTTTTGGTCTTTCATCATTCTTTGTTCTGCTGCAGTAGAAGTGATCCAGACAGCTGCAGCAGACAGACGCGAGTCCCTGACTATAGATAGACTGTCTCGTCTGTTCAGATCAATACATCTTGCCATCTTAGTACAGGAAGAACATGTTTAGGACCTAAAACATCCTCTATTCTAGATGATTCATGTAGTTCACACTCCTTACCCAGAGTCCCCCATCCACAGTGCATCACCATCAGAAACATTTTAAAGTGATGCATAGCATCCCAGCATTAATCTGCATGCATGAACTCAATATGAAAACTTTGAATCCAGCACCTCAAAATCACCGGAACGCAGATAAACAGCTGTGAAAAGAGTTGAAGATGCTTTTTACAGCAGTTTAAATTGGGAAAAGGACCCTGCAGAAGCTGAAGTCTACTTCTGTGCTGGTGGAGCAGCTCGATAAGGAAAAGTTCCAGGTCCAAACTATAGTTGGAAAAGCTTTCATCAGCAATGAGAGATAGAGAGATGTTGTTGCTTCTTGTTACTCAAGCTCAGTGTGCCCAGCTAACAGGAAGCATTCCCAGAACTTCTGGGAAGGTTCTCTCAAAGTTATGAACAAACACTGAGTAAACTTCCAGTAACCTTAATAGAATACTCATTAATAGTTATCTGGTCTTTAAGAATGTTCTCAAAACATCAGCTCAACAACATTATTTATATATTGTTCATGGAACTTTGCAGTTGTTACGTTTTAGTTTATAAACGTTACTTGTTTCAAAATGTTCTGAGAACATTCTTTAATGTTCATAAAACCAAGAAGAAAAAAAAACATTTCTAAAACCTGGACATTTTGAGCATTCAGAGAACATTCAGAAAAAATATTTTCATTCCTCGATGGTAACATTAGCAAAACATCCTTAGAACATATATTTATATTGGGTTCATCGAAATACAGTATGGCTCTATATTGCTCTAAGATCCTCATGAGACCAAAACAATCCATAAGCATTTTAAAGGAGTATTGTATAAGAACCATGTTGAGGAAAACAAATAATGGCGATGGGATGAGTGAATTGGAATATTCAAGTCCTCCATAAATGCAAAGTTTGAATGGGGGGGCGTTCAGAAGAACCTGTGTTTTTATGGATTTGTGGGGCTGAATAAGTTGTATAGTTAAATCAGTGTGCATTGTTTCATATTTATAAATAGGTGCATTTATTGTCCCCCATACTGTATGTGTGAATGCCATCCTAATGGTGCTTTGTGTTTTTCCTCCTGCCATGGAGTGCTTTATATTTTTCTGATTGCCAATAAAATGTATAAAGAAGAATCTAAAACCCATCTATACAAATGAGGTTTTAATTTAACTTGTGGATCTTACCTGAAACCTGACAAAGGAAATAAATTAAATTCCTCAGATAAATCAATGGCGCCTACAATAAAGTACTTTCTATTCACAAGTACTTCAACAAAACCAAAAAATCTTTTTTTAGCTAAAAATATATTGAAATCTACTTAAGTACGAAAATGAACTATTTCTTGTCAGTCCATTTGCTAAGAAAGCATTTGCAAATGTACATGAAAACAAATTTGAAGAGTCTTCCAGTGTGTGATGAAACGCCATAGCAACAACAGAAATCATCTTATCGTAGACGTTATGTTCACAGTAAAGGTTATTCATACAGGAGCCTAATACAATCACACTGCAAATGCCACAAGCCTCATGAGCTAAAAGAACAAAGGGAACAGAGGACAAAAACAAAACTCTTTGAAGCAAGTGGAAAATTTATTTAAAACATCTCAGATAGCGAGGGATGACATTTCCTATTAGAGAGGGAATTTAGAAGATCTCGTCATCCAATATAATTGCTGACACTCTGATTCTTTAAACAGTGTCATCGTCATATTTAATAACATCCTCTGTCTGAAAAAGAAAACATGAGTTTTAGTCAAACCTGATTTTAATAACTATATTAAAGTCTATTAATCAATTCAAACAGCCTGCAACCTGATCTGACATCTGCTTAAATTACGGAGTTAAAAAGTTCACCTAAAAATGAAAAATCATTTCATCACCCTCAAGCTGTTCCAAACCTGTATGAGTGTCTTTCTTCTGTTGAACACAAAAGATGATATTTTAAAATATGTGTGTAACCAGAGAGTTGATTGTAGCCATCGACTTCTGTAGTTTGGAAAAAATACAATGGAAGTCAATGGCTACCAGCAACTGTTTGTTCACCAACGATCTTCAAATGATCTTCTTTTGTGTTCAACAGAAGAAAGACACTCATACAGGTTTGAAATTACACGATGGTGAGTAAATGATGACAAAATTTTCATTTTTGGGTGAACTATCTTAAAGGGTTAGTAAATGAAAATTAGGCTGCATTTTACTCACCCCCGAGGCATCCTAGGTGTATATGACTTTCTTCTTTCAGACGAATCCAGTCAGAGTTATATTAAAAATTGTCTTTGA